TCACAGCCTGATTCGTAACCACTACACTACCAGAGCTATTCGTGGGATATATAAATGTATATATCCCACTCTTACTGGTGTGGCACTGTGGGACACTGAGTCACCCTCAACCTCTAGGGGATTGGCTCTTTAAAGCTTAGCAGAAGGATGTTAAAATAAGCTAGAAGAAAAATTTCAAAGTAGATAGTTGTTATACTGGAAAAGAGATAATACCATTTAACATATACTTGTTTTCTAAAAGACAATAATCAAGAAAAATTCGTGGCTACACACAGGGCTGCAGTTCAAAACTCCCAGCTGTTCCACCATAGAAACATAAGGCTTTCTTCTCCTGTAAAGATTTATAGCCTCAGAAACCCTGTATAGGGTCACTATGAGTCTGAACTGACTCCACAGCACATAACAACAACAACAACAACAAAACACACATCAAAAAGATGGAGACAGTCTGAATGGTTATGATGATTAAACAACCTTTGGTACAGCACACAATGTAATACGACGCAATGTTGAAGAATAATGATGAATCTGCGCAACACCTCACAACGTGGTGGATGAACCTGGAAGACATTATGCTAAAGGAAATTGATGAATTACAAAATGACAAACACCATAGTGACAAAAGCTGTAAAAAGCTAAGGAGCGCTTCTCTTGATAAAATAGACAGTCTATGATGGTTATGGGGTAGAGGAGAAGGAAAATTATTCACAGGGTAAAGGGCAGACACATATTAATATTGTGACAGGGCAGGCAATTACAGCAAGAGGGAGGTTAACAGGAAAGATGAAGGCAGTGGGAGACACAGGGAAGAATGCAATAATTAAAGTGAATAGAGGTAAATACCGTGAACTGTTGATACATGGAGGGGATTGTAAATGAAGCAAATTATATGATTTGTTGAATGTAAAACGGATGATCTGCTGTGTAAATCTTCAGAATAAAAAGGTTTTTTAAAACAATTAAATACTCACACTTATATGTAACTTCCTGTGATAGTTGCTCAAAGAATCTTTGTGGAAGATTGATGACATGGCCTGGACCATGCAACTGAGTCGAGATTTCAACCATCAAATGGCCGGTTACAGCAACACCTCCACTGAGAAGGTTGGTTTCTAAGTTAAGTGACCTTAGCTTCTACCTTATAACCCATAATGGCTTGTCTATATTACAACTAAAAGGAGTGGTTACGAAAAGAATTTCCTTTCATTTAACATGACTTTCAGAAAGTTATATACTGCTCTCTCAGCATCACATCTGGCGAAAACGTCGCATATGGTCATACCAAATAAGATGTAAAATATAGTCTTTACAGGGTAGGTGTGCACCTAATAAAAATTTATAGATTCTGTTCTAAACACGGTAAGGAATCAATTTTTTGTTGTTGTTGTTGTTAAGTGCCACTAAGTCAATTCCAACTCATAATGACACTGTATAGGATTTCCATGGAGAAGCTGGTGTGGTTTGAACCACCAACCTGTCGTTAGCAGTCCAGTGCTTTATCTTACAGTGCCACACCAGGACTCCAAAGAATGTGTTATTGTTGTTGTTGTTGTTGTTAAGTGCCACTAAGTCAATTCCAACTCATAATGATACTGTATAGGATTTCCATGGAGAAGCTGGTGTGGTTTGAACCACCAACCTGTCGTTAGCAGTCCAGTGCTTTATCTTACAGTGCCACACCAGGACTCCAAAGAATGTGTTATTGTTGTTGTTAAGTGCCATTGAGTCAGTTCTGACCCATAGCGACCCTGTATAAGGTTTCTGAGGAGCAGCTGGTGAGCTTGAACCATCTACTTTGTGGTTCAAACCGCTTTGCAGTCTGGCACATTAACCCACAGTGCCACACCAGGACTCCAAAGAATATGTACTGGAAGACAAATAGCAGTTCCTGCCACAGCACTGGTTAAATATCAGTTTATGTTGTGGTTTCCATTGGGTAATTCTTGTGAGGCAGTCTACCAGAAGCAATGTAACAAAAACTTGTTGTTGTTAAGTGCCATTCAGTCCATTCACTGGTGAACTTGAACCACCAACCTTGCAATTCAAAGACTTTGCAGTCTGATGTATTAGCCCATAGCACTACACCAGGGCCCAACAAAAACTGAAGAGTTAATGATATCCTCAAAGGTCAATTCTTTCATTCCTCCATCTCCAAAGGAACAGCCTCTAAAAGCCTCTACTTAACCATAGTTATTAATTTCAAATGTGATTTGAATTAAAATGACAGGGCACAATGCAGACAGGAGTGCAGAACAGAATAAGGATAGAAGGCAGAGGTTGAGGAAAGTAAACACTTTAAGAAAAACATAATGCTTGAGGCTTGTTGTTGTTAGGTGCCATCCAGTCAGTACCAACTCATAGCGACCTTATGCACAGCAGAACAAAATATTGCCCGATCCTGGGCCAACCTCACTGTTGTTGCCACACTTGAGATCATCGATGCTGCTACTTGGCCAATCCATCTTGCTGGGGGTCTTCCATCCTTCTCCAGTAACTAGTCCCTCCTGACAATATATCCGAAGTATGAGAGACGAAGTCTGGCCATCTTGGCCTCCAAGGAGCATTCTGGCTGCACTTCTGCCAACATGGATCTGTTGGCTCTTTTGGCAGTCCATGGCACTTTCAATATTCTCCTCCAAAACCATAACTCAAATGCATCAATTTTTCTTCGGTCTTCCTTATTACTGTCCAGCTTTCACATGCATATTGAAAATACCATGACTTGGGTCGGGAGCACCTTAGTCCTCAAGCTGACATCTTTGTTCTTCAATACTTTAAAAAGGTCTTGTGGAGCAGATTTGCATAATGCAAATATGTCGTTTGATTTCTTGACTGCTGCTTCCATGAGTTGATAGTTGATCCAAGAAGAATGAAGTCCTTGACAACTTCAAGCTTTTCTCTGTTGATAAGAATGCTGTTTATTGGTCAAGTGGTGAGGATTTTTGTTTTCTTTACATTGAGATACAATCCATATGACAAAGGCTGTGCTCTTTGATCGTCATCAGTAAATGTTTTAAGTCCTCTTCACTTTCAACAGCAAGGTTGTTAATGAGTCTTCCTCCAATCCTGATGCCATGTTTTTCTTCATATAACCCAGCTTCTTGGATTATTTGCTCAGCATACAGATTGAATATGTATGGTGAAAGATTACAACCCTGTCGCACAACTTTCTTAATTTTAAACCATTCAGTATTCCCATGTTCTGTTCAAACAACTGCCTCTTGATCCAGGTACAGATTCCTCATGAGCACATTTCAGTGTACCAGAATACTCATACTTCACAATGTGGTCCATAGCTTGTCATGATCCACACAGTCAAAAGTCTTTGCTTCGTCAATAAAGCACAGGTAAACATCTTTCAGATATTCTATGCTTTCAGCCAAGATCCATCAGACATCAGCAATGATATCCTTCATTCCATGGCCTCTTCTGAATCCAGCTTGAACCTCTGGAAGTGCTCTGTCAATGCATGCTTGCAGCCATTTCTGTATCACGTTTAGTAAAACTTTACTGGCATGGGATATCAAAGAGATTGTCCAATGATTTCTGCAGTCTGTTGGGTCACCTCTCTTTGCAATGGAAGCAAATATTGATCTCTTACAATCAGTAAACCAGATAGTCAGCTTCCAAAATTCTTGGCAGAGTTGAGTGACAAACTACTTCTGAATATTTAATCACTGAAAACCTTATGAATAGCTTGAGGCTTAAGGATTGTTATTAATCAGTTTTAATCATGTCTTTTCTTCAAATGACTATTATAACTTTTTTCACTTTTAAACAAAGTCTCCCTTTCCAAACTTAAATATCCAGTTGTCTTTTGTTTTTCAGAAATTCCTTTGGAAAGCCTTAGGAACCACCTTAGCCTACTGCCAAGACACAAACTTTGTAAGCTCACAGCTTAGGGAGTTTCTAATATCTCCCTCCCAACTAGGGGATCAGCGACAGGTAAGACTCCTTTCTCTTAAATTCCTTTTATGATCATGATGACTATTCCCATTCACAATGCCCACAGGTTTTATTACAATATTTTATTTTTCTAGAATTTTCATAAATATATTTAAATCAGCCAATACAGTGTTTTTAGAAGAAAAGGAGGCTTCCTTGTGTGGCGCTGTGGGTTAATGTGCCTGGACAGTAGTTGTTTTGAACATAAGGTTCATGATTCAAATTCACCAGCCACTCCTCAGAAACCCTATACAGGATCGCTATGGGTTGGAATCAACTCGATGGCATTTAACAACTTTATTATTGAAGCACATTTGTGAAAATATTGAAATTTTTTTTTTTACTCTTTCTTGATTTAACCAAGTATCTTTATTATTGTTTTTACTTTGGCTTTATAGCTTAGCAGTTGATGGTGAACATCAAAATTACTGAATTTACAGGCTGAAAGTGACTTTATAAACCATTGGTTTTCAACTTAGAGAGAATATAAGCACAACCTGGAGAGCTTTTGCAAAGCACATTTGCCTTTTCCCTAGGCTAAAGATTCATAAAACAGAATTTGTTTTAGATAAGCAACCAAATAAACAACGGTTAATTACTATACTGCATTGTTTTATATACTCTCCATAGGAATTATTAAAGGTCTAGAGTTCTTTCCCCTACACAAAATAGTCACAAATTACTAAGACTTTACTGAATTTTTTTAAATGCCTGTGTTGTTAAGTTG